AAAAACTCTCAGCACACTAGGAATAGCAGAAAGTTACATCAATATAATAAAGGCCACATATGAAAATCTCACAGCTAACATTATATTCAATGGTGAAAAACTGAAAACTTTTCGTTTAGGATAAGGAACAAGGCAAAGATGCCCACTCCAACCACCTCTATTCGACATAATACTTCAAGAACTAGTTAGAGCAATTCAGCAAGAAAAAGAAATAAAAGACATCAAATCAGAGAAGAAAAAGTGAAATTGTCCCTGTTTGTAAATGACAAGAGCTTATAGAGAAAAAACAAAGAAACAAACAAACAAACAAACAAAAAAACCCCCCACAAAAACCCTAAGGATTGAACCAAAAGACTGTTGGAACTAGTAAATCAATCCAGTAAAGGTGCAGGATACAAAACCAACATACAAAAATCAGTTGTTTTTGTATACTCTAACAATGAACTACCCAAAAGGGAAATTAGAGAAACAATCTCATTTACAAGAACACCAAAAAGAACAAAATATTTAGTAATAAGCTTAACTAAGTAGTTAGAAGATATGTACACTAAAAACTATAAAATACTGATGAAAGAAATTGAAGAAGACACAGACCAATGGAAAGACATCCCTTGCTCATTGATAGAAATTTAATGCTGTAAAATTTCCATACTCCCAACAGAATCTACAGATTCAGTGCAATCCCTATCAAAATCCCAGCAGCAGTTTCTACAGAAATTTTTTTTTTAAATCCTAAAATTCACTTGGAATCACAAAAGACCCTGAACAATCAAAACAATCTTGGGAAAGAAGAACAGACCTGGGGGCATAACACTTCCTGATTCTAAAAATACTACAAAGCTACAGTAATTAAAACAGTAAGGCACTGGCATAAAGACAGACATACAGACCAATGGAACAGAATAGAGTGTCTAGAAATCAATTTATGCATATATGGTTAACTGATCTTTGACAAGGGTGCCAAGAATTCAAAATAAGCAAAAGACAGTGTCTTCAACAAGTGGTGTTCCCTTTTAAAAAGGAAAGGGAAAGAATTGAAACAATAAGTATAACAAAATTTAATACTTAGAAAAACATTTTTAAATATTCTAATTGTCACAGTAATGAAAATAAATTACATTCTCCATTAAGACATGGAACTTCTCAGCATGGAGGTATAATGAAATAGGAAATTGAGGAAAAAAGGTATATAAAGATATCCCAGACAAGTATTAAAGAAGAAACTGGTGTGCAATATTAATATTAGAAAAAATATTATTTCCATAGGCATTAAATGGTTCAAAGGGATGCTTTATTGTAATGAGACATGCATTATGTAAAGAGGCCATTTATAAATATAATAAAATTTTATTATGATTATGATGATGAACATTTGCTGAGCACTTTAATTGATGTTACTCTGTCAGTTTAGAACACCTCATAGCAGCTCTCATCCATTTTACATTTTACATTTATTTTTTAAATGAGGGAAGAAGCCTCACAGAGGCTAAGTAATGTGCCCACAGCAACTCAGCATGGAGCAGGACAAACCTACGAAGTCTTCATGCTTAACCTCACAGAGAACATTCTGCTTTCAACAATGCAAACTTCACATGTTAGGTTCCAAACCCACGAAGTCTTCATGCTTAACCTCACAGAGAACATTCTGCTTTCAACAATGCAAACTTCACATAGCATGGGCACAAACAAATAGTAGAGAGAAAGAAGGAAACAGAAGATCAGATCCAACCCTGTTCTAAATATCTCAGAAGTGGGATGAAGCTGCAGGCATTTATTTGGGGCCAGTGTTACCACATCCTCTGTCTGGAACGGCTGGAATCCAGGAATTCTTCCTAAAATTGGATAAGTCAAATACTAACATATTTTGACATGAATAATTTATTTGTTCAAGCAACACATATTTCCTAATATGCTGAGTATCTTGCGTGAGCAGTGACTATGAGCATGACAGATAAGGTCGTAGCTCTTACAGAACATTCTAGAAGAAGTGAGTCAGCATAGCAATGATTACAATGAAGTAGTAAAAGTTACTAGCTGGGTACTGAAAATTGGGAACCCCCTTGATGGAGGTTTCCTGCCTGTAATCTGAGGCATGAAAACAAGTAAGAACTGTGAGGTGAAGATCTGGGGAGAAACACTTTCAGAGGAGCATATTCTAGATGGTTCTGTGCCTCCACTCACATTATCTCAGTTCATCCCTATCTGTGATGTATGCTGAGCAGGTGTCAACATGCCCCTCCTATGGACAAGAAAACTAGTTTGGTGGGAACAAAGCACTCTCCAGGCATTTCAAAGAGACTGCATCATACCGTGCTTGTTTATATACAGAATCTAAATTCTTCTGAGTGAATGTGGAATTGACCCCAAAAGTACATCCATGGTTCTTACTTGTGAAAATAACTTACAGCTGCCAAACTTCAGAGGGCACGCGTGTGCATCCATTGGGAAGTCTTCAAGCTGCATGGGGCACTCAGCAGAGATGGTCAAGCTGAAAAACAAGAGACGAAGACCTTTAAGCACTCACTGACTTTGGCTATGCACTGAGAAACTGCTTTGTCCCAGAAAGCCACATTATCCACTTAATCAATATCTTTTATGAAATTGTCTGAACTGTCTCTACTAAATTAGCTAAGTTTGTACTATAGATGAATATCGCTCAGAAACAAAGCTTAAATAAAATCTACTCAAGAGTTCTGGGGCTTGGTGTGTGTGTGTGTCTACACATATGTTACCGCTTGTAAAACAATTGAAGATGCCTTTAAAAATTATTTATTCTTTGTTTCCCATCCGTTACCTAGCAGTATGCAAAAAGTGTTCCTTCACAAGACTGAAAATAGATGCATTTTTTGACATAGTATATAAGCTCAAAAAATGTAAATGTTGGATAAATGCATAGCCCAAATTTTGACCAGAAACTGGCTATAATCATTGTGTTATGGGCTGATGTAAATGAACTTGTGTTACAATAGATATCTTCTGGTGTAACCTAATTATTGTTTGTTTGTTTTAATCTAAACCTAGTCTTCCAAATAATAATGCCACAAGCAACACCACTGTCACCAGTAACTACAGTGATGATCAGCACTGTGGTAAGTGCTTTCCCTGCATTAACTCATCTCCTGATAGCACAACAAGATTTGTTGCTATTATCATCCCAGTTTTCAAAGGAGGAAAGTGAGGCACAGATATGAAGGATTCAGGCCAGGAGTATGTAGCTGCTCAGCTGTGAGCCACAGCAGGAGCACAGGCTGCCCGGTCACGGCTGCAGAGGCTCCCGACAGGTGTCCACCACATGCTGCACTGTCGGAGCTCTGTTCTGTAAGAAGTGAGGGCACTTCCAGAGTTGCCACTCTGTGGTGCTTTTATTCATCCACAGACTTTATTAAGTAGGTGTGATTCTACATTTGATTAATGAACTTACCTTCTGTTTCTTAGTTTTTCTTTCCCTCAATTAAAATAAAACCATTAGGCTGGCTGGTTGGCTCGGTTGGTTAGAGCACGGTGTTGATAAAGTAAAATGAATTTACACATAATAAAGTAAAAATACAAAACACTCAACTTCAAATGCATGTTGTAATTCTATTTTTAGAGCAGATAATAATTCCATGTTACATTAGCACTACTGTTTGTTCCTTGCTACAAGTGTGGGTGTTGCCTCTGCTCGCAAGGTGAGAATCAAAATGTAAAAACATTCACGTTTGCCTTTACCCCTTTTTTTCTTTTAATATAGATTCCTTTTGCTACTAAGTTGGGCACATAATTCAGATGATAATTGCAGGCTGAGTAGTCAATGCACATATCTGCTGAATAAAACCAAACCACATATCAGTGGAAGGGAAGTCTGCACCAACAGGCAGCGGGTTTCCTGCCAGGGGACAGTCCCTCGGACGGGGTGAGCCACAGAGGGCCGTGAGTTCAGAGAAAGAGAACACTCTGCAGAAGTCCCAAGTTCAGGCAGAGAAATGACTTTTAAAATAATATTCCACATATGTTCATAGAATATGGGAAAATACAGAAGAAACAAAGAAAATTACAAATATCTATCATTTCATTTATAATTTCACATAGTGCACTGGTATATAAAATTCAGTCTTTTTTATACCTAACATTATAGCAGAAAAGTATTTTCCACATTATTAAAATTTCTACATAATAATGATTTTAAAAGGTTAAATATTTAATTCTAGCATGCAGAGGTGTGTGTGTGTGTGTAAATAACCAATTAGATTTTACATTATTTTACATGATAAATAATTGGCAATGGCCCTCTTCAATCATGAACCATGAATAAATGCTATTATTAGTGACTATAAAATGGGGAAGGTAGCTAAAGATTGACTTACAGGAATTAGAAAAATCAGGACTTAAAAAACACAGTCTGAGAGGATGGTATATAGCCAATACAAAGGAAATAATGTTAGCAAACTTAAGCAATTTGTTAAGTAAAGCAAGAATGGAACAGAATTTAAATGAGCTGTATATAATCTAGAGGACAAAATCACAATGGAGCTCACAAAAGCTAGAATTTCCTTAGGAAGCGCAGTTTCAGTAGGGAAGGAGGAAATACATATAAAGGTGTAATTCCAGGCACAAGGCAGTAACTGTGAAGATGAGCGCATGACAGAGGTGCTGAGGGTCTAGAAGAGAGCACTTCTGATGAGGAGAGTCAGTCTTTGTGCTGATTTGCAGCCTCTGCTCTCACAATTTGTGGATGTCGCTGTAACAGGGACACGGGGTGGGGGCCTCCATCACTGGGAGTAGTGTGAGGTGGGACCCAGGGGTAGAAGATGCTTCGGGTGACCCTGTCTTAGCCAGCTCTAGGTACTGAAGCCTTCAACCAGCAGATCCAGCTTTTAAGCCACCCCTAATGATGACAACTTTATGGGCCTTGCTGCCATCGTTAGAGTAGATGTGGCAGATCTTTTCTCCAGACACTGCCACGTCTGCCAGCTCACACAGCTGGACGTTCAGTTTCCATGGAGTCTGGAGGATGCCTGGAAGCCAGGTCTGTCAGCACAGTTCTTGACCACGTGGTGCTCAGGTCAGCTCCTCTCCCCTGCTCGGTGCTGAAGTTCCGCGTCAATCCGCTGCAGGCGCCTCTGCTCGGAATTGCTGCTGCCTGTCCCTACTCAAACAGACCCTCCCATTCTTGACCACGTGGTGCTCAGGTCAGCTCCTCTCCCCTGCTCGGTGCTGAAGTTCCGCGTCAATCCACACGGCCGCTGCAGGCGCCTCTGCTCGGAATTGCTGCTGCCTGTCCCTACTCAAACAGACCCTCCCATCCCGGGGAAACATGACACTGCCCATTCCTGGCTTCTCCCTCCTCCTTTCCTGCCAAGATCATGTGCTTTTAAGAGAAACCAGAGCCTCTCTTTCTGCCATGGTGGGCTTTGTTCTGGCTGTTTGACCCTGAGAGCTCCACCTTCCGAAAATCACTCCACTGACCACAGCTAAAGATGGCATTCTGACAAGGAATGTGCACCCAGAAGTCTGCCTTTAGTATATTGCAGGAATGTGTACGTGTTGTGTGCATGAGTGTGTGTGTGCAGCACGGGATGGGGGGGGGGAAGGAAGGTGCACAGACACAGGTGGACAAGATTTAGCCGGATTCTTTAAAAAAGACTCTTTTAAAGAAAAAATAATTCTAGTAAAAACATAGGAAAGACAGATTCTATAATTACCATCTCAAGAAATGCCATCATTAGATTGTTCTCCCGTTTCATAGTGCTTCTTAGAACTAGAATTACAAACCTCAGAAAAGTATATTTTATCTATGACAATGTCTCTCCTCTAACAAAGGAATGTATTCTTCAGATAAATCCCCCAATAGCAAACCTTTCAGCCTCCGTAAGAGAATAAATTTAAATTTTTGATCCATTAAAATATTTCAAAAATGGCCTATGCTTTTGTAATACTCAAAAATATCCCTAGATAAGAGAAAACCTGTGTGTGAGGTTCTGGAAATGTACAACTAACTTCCCTCACGAAGAACAAGATCAAAGCCCTTTGTGGAATGGCTGGCTGTCATAGCTCAAGAGAGCCAGTGAGGTCACCTACTCAAAACCTCCACTGCTTAGATAAAGAAAAAGGAGCCCAGAAGGTTAAGACACTTGCCTGTGGAAAAAGTTCATGAATTACTGGTAGATCCAGGAATCCAGTGTTTTTTCCAAAGGTCCAATCTGTTTTACTTCCAATTTCTGTTAATACATTTAAGCATTAACTTATCAAAGCATACTGTCCTATTTTTGAATAAAATTTTAATTTTAGGGTAAGGAAAAAGGGCATTTTGTAAGTTAAGATAATTGCTTCAACTTGGATTTATAGCGTTCTAATTGAGGGCTTAGTATCCTAAACTCATGAGAGAGCTCTCTGCTTGACCAGGGGCAGCTCATGTGGGAAAGTGCTTTAGAATGGTTAAGACAACCAAATTCTAGAAGAGCTTCACCATTAACTAATTGTGTGACCTTTGTCAAGCTGCCTACCTTCTCTGGTCTAATCTTCCCATTTGAAAAAGAAAGATAATAACAGTTTCTGTTATTCTTTGAAAAAAAAATTGGTATGTATGAGAGGAAGGTTAAATGTCTTTGGCCAAGACCAGATATTCAATGACAAGGAGGTAATGAAAGAAAGCCTCCAAATTTCTACCCAATGTTTTCTTCAGTTTGGAGCCTTCCTCATTGACATGGAAATATTGCATCAATGCAGGAGAAGATCAGATAGTGGGAGGCAAAATAATGGCTCTGTAGTATGTCCATGACCTCATGCACAAACCCCAAGCCCGTGACTATGTCACCTTAGGCAAAAGGGCTTTGCAGATGTGATTAATTTAAGGCTCTTGAGATGGAGAGATGATCTTGGATTATCCAGGTCAGCCCAATATAATCACAAGGGTGCCTACAAGAGGGAGACAGGGGTGTCAGATTCAGAGAAGGAGATGTGACTTTGGAAGCAGAGGTCAGAGTGGCATGGCCAAAAAGCAAGAAGAGGCAAAGAACAGATTCTCCTCCAGAGCTTCCTGTCAATGCCTTGATTTTAGTCTCATGGGAACCTTTGGACTTTTGACCTCCAGAACTATAAGACAATAAATTTGATGTGTTTTAAGATAATAAGTTTGTGATAATTTGTTATATCCATAGGAAACCAATAGAATTTTGGTACCTGGAAGTGGAGTGCTGTTGTTAAAAATACCTAAAAGTGTGAAAATAGCTTTGGAATGTGGTAGTGGACAGAGGCTGGAAGAATTGTGAAATGCATCATAGAAAAGCCTAGGTCACCCCGAACAGACTTTTAACAGAAATATGAACGTTAACCACACTGTAGTGAGGACTTACAAGGAAGTGAGGAGCAGCTAAAGAAAATCTATATTTTTCTGAGAGAATATCTAAATGGTCATAAACACACCATTGGTAAAAATGTGCACACCACAGGCCCTGCTGCTGAGGGCTCAGAAGGAAATGATGAATGTGTTGTTGGAAACTGTAGGAAAGA